CTTCTCAGATACCCTTTTTCAAAATTTTCTCTTATCCACATGTTTCCATAACATCTTGGCCTTCATGTGGAATCCTTTTGTTGATCCATCTATATTGTTAGTCTACAAGCCTTTGGAGCTCAAGGACTGTTACTCATGAGTACTCTCCCCCAGGGATTCTGGGATGTATCCACAATAGGATAGGGGCTGAGTAAAAGTTTTGAAAATTAAATTGAATTGAGATAAGCTGAATTGAATTGAGTTGAGTTGAATTGAATGTATTCAATTCTCCCAGGCATTGGAAAAAATAATCTAATAGGGGCCATTCTTCAGTCCTCCTTAACCAATTCATTTGCTACAGTGATGTACTGTTGCACAAAACTCAAGTATGGAGAAGAACTCATTCTGCCTCAACACCATGGGATAAGCATATTTATTTTGTCAGCTCTACATCCGTTCTTTTGGTTTCTATTCCTCCTCTTCACCATATTGATTTTACTTTGAGGGAAGCTGTTCTTCGAACTCTCAATTCCAGTTTCCACTTGCAGAAATGGGCACATGATCCAGGCCTTGCCATTGAGTATATTCCAACCATTTGGCCAAGGTAAGAGTATGCAACCCAAGATAAGCCAAGAACATAATTCTGGAAATTTTTTTGCTAGTTGGGAAAGAAAATGCTCTTTCTGCTGAGACTGATCATGGTAAAGACATCATAAATCTGGAAGTGCCAGGAATCCCAGTGTGGACATCACAGGTCTATGAATGAACTCCAAAGAGAAAGGGGCAGAACCAAAAGTTTGAAGGGAATTGGAGGGAGAAACCAAGTCCTGTGAGTGGGGATATTTCAGTACTTGGGTCTAGAAAATGATCTCTTAAATTAGACTGGCATTCATAAATATTAACTGTTTGTGACTTGGGGAAAATTACTTAACCATTCTGTTTCCTTGTGTATAATATGAGGATGATTATAGCACCTCAATTTAATCTTCACTTTGAAGTTTAAGTGAGATATCACATGTAAAAAACTTAGAACAGTGTCTGACACAGAGCATGATCAATACATATTAGCCTTTGTTAATATAGATATTTTAATATATGGTATTTGAGTTATGTACAGCAATAAGTTCTCTTTTTTGCTTACACTGGTTTGAGCTGGGGTTCAATCACTTTCAACCAAAAGAGTCTTGTCTAAAACAATTAACATAAAGCATAAAGCCCCACAGTGTATGGGTTTATGGCAGGCCAAATTCCCTTCTGGGGACTGAGGCAGAGAAGGGGGTTTGAACCAATTGACCCAAGACCATCTGGCTCTCCTTAGTTGATGTCTATCAGTAATTTTACCTCCAACTCCTAGTTTGGAAAAGAGTTTCTTCATCACCATCCTATTTGTATTCACAAATATCCTCCTTCTATACTTCCTGCTAGAATGATTCCTTTTAAAAAGATATAAAATACAAAAAGTGTGAAATCAAACACGAGAGTGATAAAATGAAATAAAATATTTCTACAATTAAAATATATTTTCTATTTCTTTTTATTTCTTAAATCTTAAGCTGGAAACTTTTTTCCATACTGGTTTAGGGTAAATAATATCATAAGTAAGCAGCCTACATGCTAAATAGCATAATTTTCTTGGTGTCGATTACTGGAGGGATATGGAGGGGATTTGCATGCTTAATTCCCATTAGCACCTGTCACTGGGATTTATTATCTCAGAGTTAATTCTCCACTCACTGCAGCCAAGAAAAAGAAAGCCCTGGTACATGGATTAAAATTAAGTGGTTTTTTTAAAAATATTTTTCAGAGCGAGATGAATTTCATGTCTGTTCCTTAAGCACCTACAGCATTCTAATCCTGAAAAATTCATAATTAAATTCATTTTTGGTAAATATTTACCCAAATTTGATTTTATTCAACAACTAGAAAAACATATTCATAATTTGAAAATCTGTCTTGGGGGTAAAAGAAGTCTTATTAAAGGACTTTAAGTTTTCAAATCTATTGGCTTTCATTCTTCCACTTAATATTGAATAAGTGCTTATTGGCCATCTATTATGTGCCAGGCAGTTTTCTAGGTTCTGGGGCTAAAGCAGTGAAACTACTAGGGAAAAAAATCCCGCTCCTTGAGAAGCATACTATGGGAGAGTACATACATATACATAGACACATGTTTACACATATGTCTGCATACACCTATGTGTAGATGTGTTGGATGGAAAATTAAACCAGGTGCATACAATTGAGCAAGGTGAGATGAGTGCTATTTTAGGTAGTGGATCAGAAAAGGTCTCTCTAAGCAGTGACAATTGAACCCAGATCTAAGTGAGGTGAGTTAGCAATTCTACACTCAGAAGCCTAAGCATCACTGCATTATATCTTTCATGAAGAAAAAATAAAAGAAATCAAGGAAGGATGTGTCAAGGAAAGTTTTATGAGCAGCCATTGATTATAGGAAACTCAACTGCTTGGTAAACCTGAACTATTTGCTGGTTGTTTCCCTGTCCTAGTTCTGGTGCTACCACTCTTCCCCTCCCTTTTCTACTTCATCTCTACTTACCATTCCCCGCCCGCTGGGGGCTGAGTTTCAGTGTTGAACTACTTCTCCTCTTCTCTTTTACCTTTCTTTTAAAGCATTAATTTCATGCAGTGTCTGTCATTGAGCACTTCAATGCCCCGAACAGGATTATGTGACAATTTAATTTTGTTTAACTAACTAGACTTTGAGGATTCTTTCCTATTGAGCCTTTTTGTCATTCAACCAACCGATGTTAACTGGACACCAACTATATATTGGGCTCTATGTTAGGATCTGGGGATGAAATGATGAACAAGATCTCTGCCTTAAAAATAGTTTAATTCTAATTAGGAGAGATAGGCATTTAAATTGTAAACAAACAGCTTTTAGATAGTGTTCATGTGAAAGTGATAAATGTGGGGGTTTCTTCCTTACTACTGCTGTCCTTCTTGGAAAAACTGTAAAGACAAATATGGAATATAATTATAATCCTTTCTAGTGATGTCATCCTCAAAATAAATGACAGGTTATGAGTGGCCTAGATGCCCTGCCCACCATGGTGGTCACTAGCCATGTGGCTATTTAAATTAAAATTAAAATTAATTGCATAAAATTAAAATTCCCATAGCCGCATTGCTCAGTGCTCAGTAGCCACATGTGTCAAATGACTACCATTTTGGAGAGCACAGGCAAGAACATATTCATCATTGCAGCATGCAGCTGATGGGAATCTGTATCAACGGTGAGAAGAGCAGCTAACAATTTTATGTGTTAGACACTTCACAGACGTTTAACTCATGTATTTCTCACAAAACCGTATGGTAGTTATTGCTACCAGGCCTACCTTACAGATTAGGAAACTGGGGTACTTAGTTTTATTGTTCAATATCTGTCAACTAGTAATAAGATATGCTAAGAATTAATCCAGCCAGTCTGGTGCTGGAAACTGCACTCTGACCAACATATCAGGGTCCCTTGGTGTGGGGAAACCACAGAGAGGAAAGAGATTTTAGCATAGAAATGGGGGATGGCCAGATCCGTCAATGTCTTCGCCAAGGATGACCTTTTCAGGTCTATCAGACTCATCCAAGACACCTTGTGTTGAGTAGAAGTTTGGATGGAGGTCGGCAGGCAGCATCGTGGAATATTAGAATTGAAAAGAACTATGAAACCATCTAATAAAATATTGCACAGATGAAGAAACCGAGACATGCAGTTTACCTGACTTATCCAGAATGACAGAGTGAGTTACGAGCACAGCCCAGATTAGGCAGAAAGCGTCCTTCTTCAGTGTGTGTTTACACTTTGCCTCCTTGGCACCGAAGAGCTTACATTTCCCTGATACATGATTTATTATCAGCTTAAAAATGTACTCATTTGGGGAAGTGGTTTTCTTCTTCCCAGAATGTTAGCTGTGCAAGCGTGTATTAACCTTTGGAAAAAGCAATCACTTTCCTTTTGTCTAGCCTTCCTTATTCTATCCACCCATCTTACATTCTTCCTTAGCTGCCCAGCCAATTCTTCCCTGGGGAAAAAAAAAACGAGGGGGGGGTGTTAAAAAAAAATTCATAGCAGTTTGATTCCTTGTACACACCATTAGGAGTTTGGAAAACATGTCCTAAGTTCCACCACCACTTTAAGTGGGTCCCTACAAACCGTGTGCATTGTTGCTGGGACTTTCTCCTGGCATCGGTGTCATCTCACCAAGATGCACGCAGGTAAAGCTGTCTTCAAGCCTGAGCCTTCCTTGAGCTGTTAGTTTCTGTTCCACGACAGAGAGGGTACAGGCGCCAAAAGCATAAAGCTGTCTGAGTGGAGCGGACCATCCCCAAAGTGCAGCCGGTTGGGGCACTGCAAGAGCTTCATGCCCTCTGCCCCGTCACGCAGGACTTCAGCCCCAGCCCGGCCCGGCTTAACCAGTCTCCAGACTGGAAGTGCTAGACCGCGTCCCGGCCCCGGGAGTCTGGCTCCGGCTTCCCTGGC